TATCTATAGGTACCAAGGTACAACTCACATATTTAGACGCAGTAGTATTTTTTCTTACTTAGTGATAAAATCCAAACTGATGGTCAAGCAGAGCAGAAGATGTTAGGCATGAATAATTTCACCAGTCCTGTGACTTTGCTGTTAAGTAACTATATACGGGCATATATTTACAAATCGCAGTGACTCACAGCACGGATACAGTGAGCAATGAATGCTCGGGTGTTGGCACTTACTTTTTGTTCTATATTATCTTAAAACAATTTAGAGACTTTTAAATTATTTGCTTGAAAACTATGCTTACTTAGTATATAGGATGCTTATATAGGGGTGTTTCACTGTCCTAGCAAAGGCAAAAATGGGAAAAGTAGAATTCATAAATTATTTTAATCGTAACAACTGAGTGCAAGTACAACTGCCAGGGCTTTCTGGAAGTGCAGGAACTGTGAACTGATGGCATGAAATCTTCCTGGTAGAGTGGTAACAGCTTGGCAGCAACTTTCTTAGCTGATGTCTCCCTAGGTCTGTAGATGACTTCAATGGATATAGTTACTCCTCCTGACAGAAAGGACATCCTCCCTCCACAAACCCATTCACATAAAATACCAGATGAATCTCCCTGCAAGTTCATTTACCGTGAACCTCCACAAACACTTATGTCAACGCTCCTGAGGGAGCATCGCAGGAGCAGGAGATGCTGTGGGGGAAGGAGATGATGGGAATTCCACTGCCATTACAATGCAGGAATAACTATTTCTATGTATTTTTACAACAGTTGGGTCCATCTGAAGTTTAAGATATAACCCAGTCATGTTTTAACATTTTAAGACAAAGACTATCCAGTCTATGTGTTTATATGTGTCTATTCCAGACACATTTTCTCTGTTTTTCCCCTTTTCTTATGCATCATGCTACCACTGCTAGAGTAGCAAAACGACAGTAAGGATGAGATGGGTAGTAATGGGGTAGCATTGCTAATGGATATTCTCTGTGAATGGAGGACTTACCTCCTCATCTGCCAAGCCAGGAATTGCAGACACCTTCATTTAATTTTAGCTGCATTGTCTCGGTTAAGAAGAAAAACTGAAAACACACGCTTAGGACTTAAAGCTGTCTTATCCTAATATAAAACTACATAAAGAATATCTTAACAAAAATTTCCTTTTTCTTTTTCTTATACTGTAACATTTTACCATTGTCTACAATAAAGTAGCACCTAAAAAGAAGAAAATTTGATGCAGCTTCTTGTGTGATACCCATCAGCACCGTGTCTGTAATTCTGCTTTCAGTGGAATTTGCCTCTTTCCAAAAGCAGTGACATCTCCTTCTCTCCCCATTTTTCAGAACAGGCCAGTATTGCCCCCAACTTGATGACTTGCTGCAACTTGCTTTTCAGCTCTTCTGAAGTGTGATCCACGTTCCCATGGTTATGAAGGCAGTCCAACAATCTCCCTCCAGCACTGAACGCTAACCTATCTTTTTAGTAATCTCATCACTGTAACAGGATTAAAGAAATTAAATTGCAGTTAGTGAATTTAAACATACTCCAGTCAAAGGGTTTTACTCCACGAATGAATGTGAAGCGTTGTCTACCACCTGAGCCAAGAGACATATAAATAACCTTAATCTGTTTTTATAAAATGCAAAATAACAGCAGAATACTACTCTTCAGCTATTTTTGAAAGCCGTAATTTTTACCATTTGTAGAAATTATTATAAATCATAGCATCTGAAAAAAGCTGCACTCAATGACATTCTTATTAATAGTGACATATCCGTGCTCCTCATGGAATGTCCTCTGGCTTTCTGCTCGGTTTCTGCTTCACTTCCAATTCTTCTTTTCCGTCCGTCTCCTCTCCTGGTTCCACAGCCTCCTCTGGGATTATCCAAAAATCTTGCCAAAAGCAGGAAATGCTACCAAAATGCTACCAACCGCCAGGAGCCAGCTTCAGTCACAAGCCCTTCTGAGAGTTAAACTGAATATGGTCTTGTTTTTAACTAGGAGCGTGACAAGACTGTCATTGTAGTCATCATAGATCCGAGCCATGATACAGAAACACTCTTGAAGTGCATGCTCAAGACCTGAGCTGTGTTTTGCCTACAGTCCACCAATGCCGTAGCTGTTGGAAGTACCCAGACAACGTAATCTGCTATCTGATGAGACAGGTCCTTACAGTCAGAAGCTGGGAAGACCTTTTTATGCCCTACACTCTTATGCAAAGACATGTAATTCACGCAATCTCAAATTAAATTGTAAAAGTGAAACAACGCAGGTTAATCATGCTTGGAAGCAGTTATTTAAGCATTTCATCACTGAGGATTTTTGAAAAAGTCATATAGACATTTCCCTAATAACAGCATTAAAATTACTCTTGGCAAGCTCACATTCATTAATATAGTCTCCTGTCCTGTTCACAAGGATATGTTAAATGAGCACAGGTCTGAATTATCTTCTCTAAATAATAGGTTATACAAGTAAGCAATTACAGAAGGATTTACTCAAATCTAAGTTTTGAATTTCTTCCCTCTTATCTGTATGTATTCATAAGTGCAAGTTACATATATGAAAGGGCAGAATTCAGTCTCAGATCAAGCAGCTGCACCTGACAATGTGAAATCAACTTAAATAACCAGATAGCACATACCAAGTCCATATACATAGAAGAGACAAAACCATAGGTGGCTAATTTGCAACCTTTAAAAAAAAAATAATCACAAACTAAATAAAAATAAATGCCTTTTTTCATTAAAAATGCCTTTGTTCTATACAAACACAAATTGTCTTGAAGTGAATAAATAAGCTCAGCTGTGTTGTGCAATGATTACATTAACCTTGCAATCAAGCATTAAATTAAATTGCCTTGTTTGGATTTCCCTGCTGCAGGGGAAAATGTACCTTCTAAGGTCTGTGCTTTATGTTACCAGAGCCAACGAGTAAAAGCTTCACAACTAAACTTCTACAATTAATAACACAAGAAACCAAACAAGTAAGCATATTGGAAAAATTCCTCTGACAACTTTTCAATGATTAACTTTATACTCAAAGGTTTGTAGCCTTTCACACTCGTTCTCCCACGCATTCAGTTAACATCTGCTTTGAACAAGTTAAATGTAATCTTCATACGTTTTCTAGGTGTACCAATAAAGCAGCTCAGCACTCCTGCTTGCTGCCTCCATTCACAGAACGAAGAAAGCGATTCATTACTGCACCGTTTTATTCAACTCCTTTCCCTTATGCCAGTTTTCACCCTGGAAAACTGCTGCTCAAACCAAGATTAATTTTTTGTTTAAACTGCACATCGTGATCACCCAGCAACCAAAGAGGAGCTATTTTTAAATCACTGCCCTATTGTCAGAAAACTCTGATTTCCTGCATAAGGTGAGTAGGCTTACATTCTAAATAGAAAAGACTAAATCAAAACAACACATAATAATGTCACCAACTCTGGGACCAAGGGTAATTTTTCTGTGATCCTGTGTTGCAGCTAAATTGCCAGCCGTACAGAGCCTTTACTGTGTGTAAAGTCCGTCCCCTCCATGTGAACTGAAAAAATGATTTTCCAAGCTGAAACAATTGACATAAACTAGGGATTGCACTTCAGTGTGTCACAATCCCATTCTCAGTGGAATATATTTAAACACACAAATAATATCTCTTGTCGAACGTACGTAATTGGTCCTGATGTGTGGTGTCTTCAGGTAAGGAGCTTAGCAAATAAAATGTGAGAATAATTTACATGCCAAGAAAAAATGTTGCAAGCGCAGAAAATATTGAACAGGGGAAGGAATCAGCGACGAGGAATGTATCACTAGCTCTCCAGAAGGCTGACTGTTACTTAAACAATAATATAATTTATATCAGACCAACTCTGTATTGTAAACAGATAGCTTCTGTTAATGTGGCAATGTTCAGAAGCCACAGCAACAGACGAGGATGACACTTGATTAGTCTCCAGTTGCATCACCAGGTGGCAATGCCTTCACCCGCAGGGGCCAGTGCTGTTGGCCGAGTACGGGTTTCAAGTTGCAAATTTCAGAGAGAGATATGAGCTCCTGAAAAATCCAGGCGTATTTTACAACTGGCAAGCATATGCTGACTTAGTGATTGAAACTGAGCTGAGATTCTCTGAGAGGTTTTAGTTCTTTTGTTTAGATTTACCATCCTGCTTTTTACTAGTATCAAGAGAACACCAAAGCAAATTTAGTGTGGCTTTCTTTGAAAACAAGGCTAGATTCTCCATCACTTCTATTTCCTTAGTAATCCATGCATGACTATCAAGAAAGTATCAGTCATATCAAACTCAGTCAACTGCATTATGTCCCAGGAAAGACTTATCAATAACAAAACAAAAAGAGAAAATACTTTTAGTTCAGAAATTGGTTCAAACCTGTAACTCAAAATCCATGTTTTATACTTAGGGGCCCCTCATGGAAGAAAAAGGATACGGTTCACTTACTGTATCAACAGTAACACTCATCAGGCTTCGGGTTTGGAAGGGAAAGAAGCAGCTATAGGCTGACGCCATTAAAAGCAAAAGAATTTAACCCATTTATCTCAACTCTAACAGAATATAGGTCTCATTACTGTCCATCTCCCCGGCTTCCTTTATGATCGCACTCCTGTAAGTTACGGATTTTTCGTCCCCTAAGTCTTGGTCTTTGGCCTTGACCATTCACACTGAATCACTGGACTTGGAAGAATCAGTGGAAATGAGAGGAGAATTAGGGTTTTTTTATTTCAAACACTATTAAAATAGAAGTTTTACAGTTTCTTGTGTTGCGTCCTGCCCACAAAAACCCAAATGAGATTTCAGAAGAGAAAGTCAGCATTTATCCTGACACCTCTGTGAACATATAACCTAAAATACTCTGGAGAAGCTTATATCCATGTATTCAGTGTCTGAATTCCCAAAGCTATTTAATCTTAGAGATCCAATATGCATTAGATACAGCGTGAATCAAATGCGCCACTATATGCGAGCATTTGCTGGATGAGACCTTACCTGTCAGCATCTCCGAGTCCCAGTGAAGTATTACGCTGCATCGTCTCCCGCACTGCAGCCATGCCATCAGGCAGCCGGTTTAGCCTTCGAGTATAGAGGCCCAGACCACCATCCGTCATATACCTTTAAAGCAGCAAAACAAAATGTCATGTTTACTAAAACAATAAAACCTCCAGATATTACTGTAGCTCATATCTTCTGCGTGTTTTTAACTGTATATTGCAATTTCCCCACTTTTGAGTTAAGGATATTACTCGGAATATGTATGAAGCAATGAAAACTTTATTTTTTGCCTCTCATTGTTCTCCATTACATCTTGCACTCTCTCTCATCAATGAGAATTGAATTTCAACATAACTGTGACAAAGGAAGAATACTTAACTTTCATTAAGGATGCCTAGATGGAAGTCATTTAATATTTCTGAATGCTATCATTAATTATCCCTTCCTGTCCAAAAAATGCATGGTTTATACCATCCTGAACTCTTCTGTGTGAGCTAAAACAGCACGATGGAAATATCAACGCTTTTACAAGTTAACTGCAAAAATCACACATTGAATTCACATTGAATTCATACAAAAATCACATTGAATTCATCCTAGATTTCGTCAATGGTCCATGAACAATGAGTAGCCCAAGGTTTATTGTGAGAAATCAAAGTTGCAGCATGAATGAAAAGTTTTTTTCAACCTTGTTTTGGCTCCTACATTGTACTCTGTCTGCAACTGTGACCTAGAGACATCTGCATCTAAAAAGTGTTACTATTCTTACATATTAAGAAGTGTCAGGTGTATATGAGATACTTCACAAATTGCTAAAATAGCACATTTCTTACTTTCTAGCTTAGCAACTGAAAAATTAATCTTAACGTGAACAGAGATGACACTTGGCAGACAAGGATAGAGAGATGTTGTGGATCCCCAGGAGCAATTCCTCACAATAACGCAGGCTACGTCATCCAGCATTTTTGCTGAAGTCTGTACCGATGCAGACAGCAACAACCATCGTGTAATGTAACTTCAGGATGTGGCGGTAACCAAGAAAAGAAAGTTTTAAAAACTGTACAACCACCTACCACTTTGGTTCAGTTTATGAGTAAAATATTTTAATATATTAATACTGAAACTAAGAAGTTACTCCAGTCTTCTCTTTAGTAGCTTCTCAATGAGCTGCCCTACATCAATATCTCAATAATGTTTTAAAATATTGTGTGGCCTTTCACAACTGTAGTAGGTAAACAAGTTCAAAGTGTCAAAATGAAACAGGAGGATTTTTCTCTTGGTTTAGCTTCATTTCTAAAAGTATTCCTGACTACAGATATATGCGAGCTAGCTTTAAAGTGGAAAGGCAAGTCCCATTCGCCCCTCAAGACATTGGCACGGAGCGAGCTCTGTGCTACCGCAATCAGTTCATCAGCCCAAGTACATCTACAGGAGCAGCACTGACAGTTGTGTAAACACACCGTAAGGATTTTCACACACCTGAGACTGAAATAATTCTAACAACTCTAGCAATACGGCCACTGTCTCCGGCATACCGTTGGACACATAACATACCTCACCAAGTTAGGAGTTCATGGGATTGTATCCTCTTAATCCTTTAGCCACTCTTAGCGAAACGACAGCAGCCCACAGAATAATATCCACACAGGACACCTTCCCTCTTGCTTAACGATGACAGCAGCCCACAGAATAATATCCAGATACACAGGACACCTTCCCTCTTGCTTAACGAGACACGGAGCTTTTTCCCTAACAGCGAGACACCCTCATCCGCAGCAAGAACGGACAGATGCTCCTGGCTGCAGCCAGCAATGCCTCTGCTGGCGAGACGTTACTGCCACAGATGTACTTTACCCAAGCCAAATTCGATCACTACATTTATAAAAATGGGATGGTAAAGAGTCAAGAAGCGTTGGACAATCTGCTGCTCTGCATTTCAGTTAGATGTATAAATCTGTACGGGGCCTTCCCAGGAACCACCAAGGAGTCTCTCGGGGGAGTCTAACAAGGAGGTTGCTAAGCTCATCAAGTCAAGACACAAGAGTATTCTCCGTTCAGCAAATCTGTGGGGACACGATTCTCCAAACTCATAAACAAAGACTGTAAAAAGCATGAGGAGCAGTTGCACTGTTAACTCGTGTGGAATTCGCCTTAGGTCTAGCATTCTAACTTTTGTATGACATAGTTATACATATTTTATCGTGGAAGAGTATTTTTTTCCTTAAGCTACTAAAATAAAAGAAAGGGAAAGAAAAGTGGAGCTTAAGACCATATTGTTATACAAACACGCAAACAGCATTTTGCAAAAACATCTAATGTACATACGCTAATTGGTTTATTGCAGATACTTGTCTGCACATGAAATATGTTTCTGTATGAATACCCATTGTACACATACTGGAAAACACAGCTTTTGGCTTTGCTGTCAGATTTCTGGTGTATGACTAGTCCTTCGAGAAAAAAGATCAACTACTGCTGAAATAGGTTGTTCTCCATACTTATTACTCAGAATATGTGAAATTAAATGTATTACGCTTAAGAGTTAGCCATGCTGAAATCAACGGAAAGCCTTTTCACTAGCATCAACAGGTTTCATCCTCTACGCAGCAGCTCAGCAAGCTGATAGAGTAGAATAGTTCTGCAGCTGCATCAAACTGAAAACCAACAGTCAGATCTTCACTGGTTTTAAGCACCCATAAATCTTAAATAAGTCAATATAAGCTGGATGCCTTTGGCATCTTTGACAACTAGATCGTGAGTTTTTCTAACCAATACCCTGTAAAAAAGCAGAGACATAGACGATGACTTTTACCCGCTTTACCAACAGGACAAGTTTCTTACATGCCAGAACAACACAAGATAGATTTTTGCGTTTTGAAACAGGTTTGTGTAATCACAGATTGAAAGCTTTATATCTTATTTTTATTACACGCAATGTCTTCTACCCAGGAATGTTTAATTCCAAAAAGATGCCAAAACCAACGATGCCTGAAGTCCTGCATGCAACAGTGAGGTGGGAGAAGAAGGAAAAGTACTAGCTTCTCAATTCTGTGGAGAACAATGCATTTACAACAAATACACTTTAAAATAAATGAAAAAAATAAATTCTCTACTATCCATTGGTTCGTAGGGAGGAGATTAAAAGTTACTGGTGCCACAAACCTCCAGCCGTTGCTTTCATTTCCTTCCTCTCCATCCCTTCAAACTTAAAATTGTCTTGGCGCTCAGAAACCATCTTGCCTTTATGAATACAACATTATTATTGCTGCAGATTTTTGCTTTATGAGAAAGGAGGATATAATGAAGGTATATTTTTCTAAAGACAATCTTATAAGGTTTTACTCAGGGAGGAATAAAACCAGGAAATGTTTTTTACGCGTATTCTAACAGTACTCAACGCTATCTGAATTTATTGCCCTATCATACATCTACCCAATACGGAATGCCAGTATACTAGCCGCTCCTCTACAACGACCCATTGCAGTCCAAACAATTGTATTAGGCCAGTTATCAATTAGGTGTAATTTCTTTTACTTTTCTTATTAAAAAACATGACAAATTTGTACTAGATGCCTTGCTAGATTCATGAATCGTAAGAACACTGCAAGCACATTCAGTGCAAAAACAAGCGCTTCGAAGTATTTTTCTACCTGCCCCAAAATAAGAAAAAGTTTAAATACATGATCTGGGAAAAAGCGTACTATCCAGACTCTGTGACTTTTATACAGATGGGTAAATTCTACATGTTCAAAAAATACAATAGCTCAATACAATAGGGATGGTACCAACAGCCAATGGGGAATGACTGCCTTTAATGAAGCCGAATATAATACTACTTAATGTATGGACAGCAAGACGGTGATGACGTTGGTTAAAAGAAGTTTCTAATCTTTTCAGGAATTAATGCTTAATACACATCTCCATAGTTTCACTCTTCATCAGCAAGCAAACAAAATTAACCAAACTTCTTTGAATATGAAAAGACTCAGGTTAAACAAAAGCAGTATTATGCACTTCTAACGTGCAACTGGAACTTACAGCCCACTTTCCAGGTGACGCTTTTTTCCTGTAAGAAAGTGGCTCCCTGCCCTGTATTACAGGCATAACGTAATTTGCTTTGGAGTTCCCTGGACAACGTGGACCTTTAAACTTCTCTTTTCTTTAGCCAAATACACCCTTTCTGTGCCTTTGAAATGTTGAACGCCGTAAGAAGTCCTTCCAAGTGCAATATTTTTAGGGTATTTCTGATGCTGAAGTGATTTATTTCCCTGTCCTGAAAAGCACGCAGAGGAAACAGGAACGGGTTATGCCAGGGATCAGTAAAATCCAGCGGTCTGAGTCACTTGACTTCTGTCTGCACTCCCTACTTACCCATGTATACAGCCAACAGCACGCCTACTTTTATGGTCTGACAACTCTACCACTTCATATATATATATTCATTTCACTCCTTAATGTATTAATATGGATTTTCCAATTTTGAAAATAGATAGCCAAGGGACAGGCATTCTTTACTTAAGTATTAGGAAGAGAAGGAGCAGCAAGTAAGTCAGCAGCGCACAATAGGCCGGGCAAGCCTACCCTGATCTGCTCAGCATCGCACGGCTCCGTAATCCCAAACCCACAAGCAGGAGAGCAGCAAGGTGCCCCAAAACTGGAGCCGACTCTGGCAGCCCAGGTGCTCCTGCCTTCCTCTTGGTGCTTTTGATTCAAGGTTAGTTTGGAAATAGCTGCCCAGGTGCCTCCTGGCAGAAGACCTGCCCAGCAACCCAAGTGCTTGAAACTTGAAGAAACAAAAAGCTTGTAGGAATTACAGCTTTTGGATTATTCCATGTGTCAACATCCGCTTTGACACTCAGAAGTGTTCTCTTTAGCCGCAGCAATAACACTGTTATCCTTAATGTTTTCCTTTAAATGTTTATTTTCATGAGGCTTCGTCTGCCTCGTCATTATAGTCAGTTAAACGAGATCAAGAGACTTAACAAGCTTTGAGTATCAAAGAAGGAGTCTCACTTTGCCAGTCGCTAAAAACCACCAAGAGCAGAAAATTCTCCACTGCTGTTTCTGAAATACGATAAACGTGATCAAAACAACCCTGTTATTGCAACCAAGAATTTGTT